AATCAATGAAGAGATACTTAGCAGAGTGTGCATTGTGTGCCTGGAACTGTGCTACAGGTTACCAAAAAAAGCCCTCAAACTTACAAAGTTCTGTACATCCACTGGTGTGTGTTAAGCAAAGGTTATTCCAAAAAAATGATTCAGGTGTACACCACATTGGAAAGCTTTTTTTGAGTCTACACTTGCACATATAAGAATGTGGGAAGATTAAGAGAAACCTTACAGAGAGATAGATATGAACATAGATACATCACCCTGGGTTTTACTCGGAACCTTTCAAAGGAGTGGTCTGCACTCACTCACGAGTCATTAGAAAATGAGAAATTGCCTTTCCCAGTTTAATAAATTGAGAAGGAACCTCAAGAAGCCAGCTCAGACCAACCAGATAGGCCCTTCCCATAGTCTTTACACTGTGTTTACCAAGTGTGGCAGCTGATCTGAAAGTATGTGTGATAATTTTCTGCTATGTACTGAAGTTAAGTGTTTTTCTATTTTTTATTTTCGTGTCTAGATTATTAACATGATTTGGCATGTTCTTTATTAAAGATAGAACTTTTCTATTTCAAGGCCTATTTTTTGGCTTTTCTGTCCAGGCACTCTCTAGACTGACATAGTAACTTACTTTATTAAATGAGAAGTCAGTCAGTGAAATGTTGCCTGCCTTTCATAGTGGGAGCTGGCAGTGCCATTTAAGAACACATGGCTTGTTTTATCCGTAATCTAACTGCAACCACACTGCAGGAATGCTAGATAATGACTGAGCCAAGAACACTCTTCTGTTTTGCCCAGCACAGGACAGTTTCTACTAGCATTTATTCTTTCATGTAAAAAATTAAAGTAAAAGGAAGTGGAAGGTACGTCCACAAGTCTGTTAGAATTCCTTAGGGGCAGAGCTTTCAACAGCTTTCTCTTGAACTTCTATGAGGCATGTTGGATAATTGTCTAAGAAATATGTTTCCCCATGTGTCCAATGAAGTAACCATCTGTGGATGCTGAAGGCATAGTGCCAGGCACATCTGTGTCCTAGACATTGCTGGTAAAATTAAGGGCTGCCTTAGGTAATGATTTGACCTACTGCAAGATTCTTTTGGTGTCATTCACTTTATTCATTTGTTATTTTGGGGGGACATTTTAATGAGTATGTGATCATCAATCTTCTTATACTTTTCTTTTGCTGTAGGTTTTAATCGGTTACTTCCTGAATGACATAAACTTTGTTATCATAGGAGGTCATTTCACATATTAATGTAAAGCTCCCTTAAGGTAAAATAGAGTTAGCAAAGCCACGACCCAGAAGTGCCATTTATGACACAGAAGAAAGTGTATTAGTAAGAAGACTAGGAAACTAACCTGTTTAAAAGATGCTTGTGATTCGAGATCCCAGTCATCATAAAAAAGCATGAATTAGATATTTAGGAAGTTATTTTTTTCATTCATGATCTATGGTTTTTAAAAACTTGTTAGGTGAAATTTCCTATTCTGAAGTCTAGAAAGGATTCCAGTATTATTATGCCTTGGGATTTAAATGACCTTTAGTTGGAATCAAATATGTAATGTAAATAATCAAGAATTGTTTCCCTGTGTCTGTTCTGTCAGAGGAGAGAATATCTCCTCAGTAAGTGAGATGAACTATTCTGGCAGATTTCTGAGACAATAGTGGGCTTCACTAGATTCTAGGAAACTTAAGTCTTGTCCATGTCTAAAAAGAAATGCCAGCCATCTTAGTTGCCTTCAGTTTGAGCCTCTTGGCATCTGGGGTGAGCGGCAAACTTAGGCCTGACACGAGGTTTGTTATATCCCACCCTGCCCCACACGTGTTTACATTTCCTATTGAAGCACTAAGAGTCTCTTAACTTCTCTTTTTTGGAATATTTATATAAGATTTTCCCCACAAACTTTATAATTTATATTGATATTGTAAAGACACTAGCTTTTTTTTTTTCCTCCTGGCTTCCCAAAGAACAGGAGATAATAAATGGAGTCAGAACCTAACAAAATAAACTCATAAAATATCTAACGTATATTTATTACAGAAAGACGGAGAATACAAATAGGCTAATAAAACATTAAAATCACTTATTTTTCTACCACCCAGGGCGAAAGCATGTATAAACATTTAGGTATATCTTACAAGGTATTTTTTTCCTTTATAAATACATTGTATATAGGTTGTTTTACAGAATAAAACAGCTATATGTACTTTTTCTTTGAACATCATTTTTTATTGATAACATTCCACTGTAGTTGATTTCTTAAACTAAATCTTCAGATCCTAATTGATACCTCTCACTTAGCTAAGCTGTACTGCTGGACAGATGGTACCCCAACGTTTTAAACGAATGATCTGCTTATATTATTTATATGGATATCTCTGTAATCTAGTCAACACCTGACACAGTGTCAGGCTATAGTAGTCACTCAAAAAAATTTGAATGAGTGGGAGATGGGATTCTCTCTCCGCTAGGTTGTCCTGGCCAGAATAGTGCAGGTTGAACAGTGAGGTTAACCTGTGTTAACTCTCTGAACTATGGAAAGAGTCAAAGGTGGCAAAGAGGGCACCTTGGAAAGCAGGGTTCCCTCATAGTTTGTGTCTTTGACAGTTGTCAGTTTTAGCAGGCTCTTTCCCAGGAAATTTGTTTATCTGGTGGCAAAGACGGGGGCAGAGGGAGAGAGAAAGAAAACTGAGGCTCAGTGCCCGTAACGCAGTGGTTACGGCGCCAGCCACATACACAGAAACTGGCAGATTCCATACCGGCCTAGGTCAGTTAAACGATGACAGCTGCAACAAAAAATAGCCAAGCATTGTGGCGGGCGCCTGTAGTCCCCAGATACTTGGGAGGCTGAGGCAAAAGAATCTCTTAAGCCAAAGCGTTTGAGGTTGCTGTGAGCTGTGATTTCACAGCGCTCTACTGAGAGCAACATAATGAGACACTGTCTCAAAAAAGAAAACTGAAACAACAAACTTGATCTAATTGACATTTTGAGATCACTCCACCTAACAGCAGCATGCAATTGTGCTATGTGCACACAGGAATATTCACCATGTTGTAAACCATAAAACAAGGAGTTGACGGACAGTTTTGTAAAAAGTTAAGCATATACCTTTCTTTTTCCCCCTTTTTTTCATATGCCTTTTTGTGTAACCATTCCACTTGTAGGTAAGTATCCAAGAAGAAAGTATACATCCATACAAAAAATCGTAGATGAATCTTCATAGCCATTTTACTTGTAAAAGCCCCAAACTAGAAATAATGTAAATGTCCATCAGCATTTGATTGAATAAAGAAACTGGTGTATCCATATGACAGAATACTACCCATTAATGTAAAGGAATGAACATTCAGCAACATGGATGAATCTCAGAAATAAATTCTACTTTATGCTAAAGTGAAGAGACTGGACAAAAAGGATGTATACCCTATGGCTTTGTTTATATATTCAGAACATACATATTAATACACAAAGACCAGAAAGCAGATCAGCCCTTGCCTGGGAGAGGGTCGAAGGAAGGATTAAAGGGGTGTGAGGAAACTTTTGCAGGTGATGGATTATCTTGATTGAATTGGTTTTACAGGTTACACACATGTCAAATTGTATACTTGCAGGGTGTACATTTTATTATATGTCAGTTTACTCTCCTGTAAGAGCAGTGAAAATAATAAAATAAGGCATTCAGAATTTGGGGGCTATTTACCTCATTATTGCATTAATTAAACACATAAATGGCATGACATTTTACTGTGTACTGTGCTTGGTCAGTAAAAGGTCTTCACTTGCTTATTTGGGCTTCTGTATATAATCAGAATCAATGGAAAATGTTAGGACTCCAGAAAATATTCTCGCAGTTTCTCAATGAGGAAAAATAATTCGTATTTCTCCATGTTTAATAGTTGAGCATTGGATTTTTCTTTAAATGGTAACATGATTTCAAATGAGTACTCAATCATGCTGTATCACCTTGAATAGAGAAAAAGAGGGATATAAAATGTGGTAATAATGATAATGCAATGGTTACTCCCTGCCTGCTGAATCAAGATCAGATTCCTAAACTGGTGACTTTTGATGTTTTCTGTGGATTGGCCCTAGGGTTAGTTTTGCTCACTTTGCCCTGCCAAATACATTGTGCTGTCTCTTACTTTACTTGTTTGATTTTTTTCTCTGAGAGTCAATCTTACCCATCCCACCTCACTCACCTTTTATCTCTATCTGGTAAAATCCTGTCTATCCTTTAAGTTCTTATTCAGACTCTGACTTTGCTTTCTCTGATTCTCTCAGATGCAAGTGTGAAGTCCCTGTTATGTATTTAGTAGACACTGAACAGATAGTTTGTATCCTGTATCTTGCACTATACATATTCGCTATGTGTTCTTGAATTTACCAGTGGCACCTGGCAGCTGCCTGGTATGTAGTAGGCCTGTGTGTTGGTTGTGCCGTACAAGAACATCATGGGAGCAACCGTCAGTGAGGTCTGCCCTGCAGTTTGGAACTGAAGATAATATAGATAGACATTTTGGCTGCTCTTTAGATTCAATTGACTTGTTAACTACATTTTTACATTTCTTAAAATAATGATAATTAGTGCCAGTGAGGGAAACAGTGACAAGCAGAAGAAAACAAAAATTTATTTTGATTTTATTGTTGAAGCGCATTGTATGGTCATGGTTAGGGCAGAGAATTGCCAGTTTTATTGTCTTCATGACATGTATTTAAATTATGTGCAACCTCCTCACCCCGACATTTTTGGAATTGTGCTATAGCTAGTTAGGAGGGGGAAGTCAGTAAATCTAAATCGGCTAGATATAATTCACTCTGAATAATCTGCATAGCAAAACTCGAAAGTTGGCTTAATCGGATCTTAATATTAGAGTATTTGTTGTGTCATGGAACAGGCATGAATTTATCAGTCATGGAGTATTTGGAGAAATAATGTTTTTTGAGATTTTAGTTGAGTCTCTGGATTGTCCACACCCTTGATCACGTCTTAAATTTATTTTTTTCAGGTCCGGACCCTGTTTGTCAGTGGTCTTCCTCTGGATATCAAACCTCGGGAGCTCTATCTGCTTTTCAGACCATTTAAGGTACATTTTCAACCTTGTAGAAATTTTAAGAGGAGACGAAATGTCTGTGTACTAAATGGAGGCTTTTGGGGGGAAGAAATGAAATATTTGAGAAAGTGCCTTGTAAGTGATGTTTTTAAAAAGTTAATGAGTAAAAGAGATTTTTTATAGCTGAGTTTCAGTGTCCATTCTCACTAATAGATAGGATAATAGACTTATCTGTCTTTAGACCTCCAACATCTTATCTAGGGAGTTCTCCTCTCTTACTGATGTGAACTTGCAGCTGTCCCCTTCTGTCTCTGTTCCGTGTAGAACAGTCTTGGTATCCTTGTTGTCTATCCTATTCCATTTTGGGGTACACTTCTGAGTACAGATCACTAAAAAATTATAAATTACTTAATA